CAGGGTGGTTAAACACTGGAACAAATTGCCTAGGGAGGTTGTGGAATCTCCGTCTCTGGAGATATTTAAGAGTAGGTTAGATAAATGTCTATCAGGGATGGTCTAGACAGTATTTGGTCCTGCCATGCGGGCAGGGGACTGGACTCGATGACCTCTCGAGGTCCCTTCCAGTCCTATAATCTATGATTCTATGATTCTATGATTATGTGACAGGCTAGCTAGGTGAGAGCTGGCTGGGAGGGGAGTGGACAAACTTCAACATTGCCCAAGTGATTAGCCTGGTCAGTGGTGGGGAGCCCTTGACAGGCAGTGGCTGTGTGCAGAGACCGGTCAGATCTGTCGGAGGGAGGCACTACGTTCTTCAGCGACACAAGAGATCAGATGCACAGGAACCTCCCTGAGTGTTTATTCCCTTGGGTGTTTGCAGACGCTGGCATCTCAGAAGTGGCTCAGCTCCGACTGGTGAACAGCAGGAGTCGCTGCGCTGGGAGGGTCGAGGTGCTTCACAACCAGCAGTGGGGAACCGTGTGTGACGACGGCTGGGACTTACAGGATGCCGGAGTCGTATGCAGGCAGCTGGGCTGTGGGACGGCGTTATCAGCCCCAAGAGGGGCTCGATTTGGGCAAGGGTCAGACCGTATCTGGCTGAATAAAGTGAACTGCGCAGGGACAGAAGGTGCCCTCTCCGATTGCAGGATTTGGCTTGGGGGAAAGAATAACTGTAACCACGGAGAAGATGCTGGTGTTGTGTGCTCAGGTAACTTGCATCCATCACATCACTGTGGGTAGTGCAGGGATCGGGCTGGGAAGCTTTCAGCACAGACCCAGCTCTCCTATCTCGGTTAGCGCTGACCCCAGTGCCCCTCCATGGTGCTAATGGCCTTTTCTGCAGGTAGGGGTGTGTGAGTTTGGGGTGCTCTCCTTTTGCAGTTGTGCTGGCCTTAATGCCCCAGTGTGGTGCCATGGACCCCTAGCATGAGGAAGCTTTGTCTGTGCCCACTCGGGGGCAGCTCCCCGACTCCCTCAGCCACAAGCCACACAAGCTGTGCCCTCTAGGCCTTGGGGAGGGGGGTGACCGCTGTCGAGGTCGACAATAGACACACTTCATCCTTTGGCCCTCCAACCGTCCCCCTGCAGCACCCAGTCCTTGTCCTGCTGGGCATTCACAGCAGTCACAGATCTGCTGCTCCCAAAGGAACAGGGTCCCAAGGTAACCAGCTCCACCTCCCATCTCTGCCCCAGTCAATGCATAGCCCTAGATCCCTTCATAGTCACACCAAGGACAAGTGATTTCACAGAGTGTAGAGATTCGAGGGGTACCAAGGAGAAGGGTTGGAAAGAAATGGTTCCATGGCCGATAAAATCATACCACGCTGACTAGAGCCTAGACTCATTGAACGAGATACTTTTCGGTCTGGTAGAGCAACGCTCACCTCACAGTCCTTCTAGGGTTTCACTCCAGGCTTGGCTGTGATCTCCTGTTCCTGAGACAAACGCTGTCAGCCGCCTCCTGGGTGAAAGGGAGCTCTTGTCCCCTCTCCTCTTTCTTTGTAGGTACAGACCATTGTCTCTTCCCAGAAGAGGTCTTGCTTCGAAGACTTGTGCTGAGGGTCCTTTGTCTTTGTAAATTCTCAGGTCCCCACTAGGCCCAGAGAGTGAATGTAGCCTGTCTCCACGGCTGTGCATTGTTCTATGTGCTGATTGTCTCAGCCGAAGGGATTGCCATGGCGCAGGGGACAAGCTTCACTTCAGCACTTCTGGAGCGTCATGTTCTGTATTTTACATCTCTCTTCAGTTATATCCCATACAAACAACTTGCCCCCGTTAGATTGACCAGCGGGCTGCTCCCTCTTGGTAGAGACCTCACATACCACCTGAGCTATTGTGTATATATCTCACCCAGGGGATCCCTGTAGAACTCTAGGCATCCCTGCATTTGGTGTCAACGGCGCCTGGAGCCATTCACTCAAACTAAAAATCCAGGGCCAATTTCTCTAGAGTCCGGTTCCTAATCACTGTGTTCCGGTGGATTTGCATTTCAGGAAATTAGTCCTGAAGTTGTAACTTCCCCAAGAGCTGGACACAGGAGATGCAATTCTTCCTCACTTCCTGCCCCTACACAGCCTACATATTTCCCTGTCCTGATTCTCAGCTGCCTTGTCCTACCCCAGAAGTGTCTGCATGTCAGTGGGAGGAGTCTTCAGTTTTGTGTATGTCACAAGTTGATATCTATGTAACCCTTCTGCCAGTGGCATCAATATCTAGGGGTTCCTTTCCAGCAATATAACACAGATCCGGCTTGAGCACCCACCCAGTAAACGGACAATTACACACCACCCCCTGGGTGCTTCTACGAGGCAAAGCTTCCCCTCTTGCAAGCACAGAGTCTCAGTGCAGAAAGAAAACTTTTTAATAAAAGGATGGAAGGTCCCCGGCATTAACTTGGGAAAACGCCAGAAACAGAATTTATAAACATAAAACCATGAGCAAAACACCTAACCCAGAGTATGTTGGGCAGTGTCTTTTACCTCAGGTTCTTAGTTCCTTTAAGGTGCCCCTCCCTTCTCCCTCCACAACACCTCACTCACAGTGCTTGTCCTTGGTTAGTGAAGACCCAGAGTTCAGAGGTGCACCTGTGTGAGTTCAGCTCCCACCATGGGGGCGGGGAGGAGAGCGCCTGGCTTGGTCTTCTGTCTGGGTGCTTGCTCTGGTGGCAGCTGCCCTGCCAGCCACTCACCACTCTGCTGGCCCTCACCTTCTGCCGCCCCCGGCCTCTCTGCTGTGACCTCTGCAGGTCGCTCTCTTGAGGCTCCACCCAGCTCTCAGTGACTGTCAGCTTTTAGTGGGGAAACCTCAGTGCTGATTTCACTAAAGTGAAATCCCTGCAAGCTGCATGGGTGCTTTTTAAAGACACATTAAAGGCCATAATAGAGGCCCAACTTCAATGTATACCCCAAATTAAGAAACACAGTACAAGAACTAAAAAAGAGCCACCGTGGCTTAACAACCATGTAAAAGAAGCAGTGAAAGATAAAAAGACTTCCTTTAAAAAGTGGAAGTCAAATCCTAGTGAGGCAAATAGAAAGGAGCATAAACGCTGCCAAATTAAGTGCAAGAATGTAGTAAGAAAAGCCAAAGAGGAGTTTGAAGAACGGCTAGCCAAAAACTCCAAAGGTAATAACAGAATGTTTTTTAAGTACATCAGAAGCAGGAAGCCTGCTAAACAACCAGTGGGGCCCCTTGATGATCGAGATACAAAAGTAGCGCTTAAAGATGATAAAGTCATTGCGGAGAAACTAAATGGATTCTTTGCTTCAGTCTTCACGGCTGAGGATGTTAGGGAGATTCCCAAACCTGAGCTGGCTTTTGTAGGTGACAAATCTGAGGAACTGTCACGGATTGAAGTGTCACGAGAGGAGGTTTTGGAATTAATTGATAAACTTAACAGTAACAAGTCACCAGGACCAGATGGCACTCACCCAAGAGTTCTGAAAGAACTCAAATGTGAAGTTGCGGAACTGTTAACTAAGGTTTGTAACCTATCCTTTAAATCAGCTTCTGTACCCAAAGACTGGAAGTTAGCTAATGTAACACCAATATTTAAAAAGGGCTCTAGAGGTGATCCCGGCAATTACAGACCGGTAAGTCTAATGTCGGTACCGGGCAAATTGGTCGAAACAATAGTTAAGAATAAAATTGTCCGACACATAGAAAAACATAAACTGTTGAGCAATAGTCAACATGGTTTCTGTAAAGGGAAATCGTGTCTTACTAATTTATTAGAGTTCTTTGAAGGGGTCAACAAACATGTGGACAAGGGGGATCCAGTGGACATAGTGTACTTAGATTTCCGGAAAGCCTTTGACAAGGTCCCTCACCAAAGGCTCTTATGTAAATTAAGCTGCCATGGGATAAAAGGGAAGGTCCTTTCATGGATTGAGAACTGGTTAAAAGACAGGGAACAAAGGGTAGGAATAAATGGCAAATTCTCAGAATGGAGAGGGGTGACTAGCGGTGTTCCCCAAGGGTCAGTCCTCGGACCGATCCTATTCAACTTATTCATACATGATCTGGAGAAAGGGGTAAACAGTGAGGTCGCAAAGTTTGCAGA